CATCAGCCCTCACTGATGTTCTGTGTGGATCACCTCTTTGCTTTCAAAGCCCTTGACCATCCCAAAAGTTGGTGAAGGGAGGCAGCCACCTCAGTGATGGTATTTGGGCACTGCCAGTTGACCACTGCCTCAAGCTCTGATTTATCAGAGGCAAGAGATTTGATTGAGAAGACATGGCCCAAATAAATAACATCCAACTGAAGAAAGGAGCCCTTTGTCAGCTGCACCTTGAGGCCGTCTTTCTTTAGGCATCCAAGCACTACCCCAAGCACTCCAAATGCTGCTTAGCAGTGAAATAAAACATGATTACGTCATCAAGATGCAACAGCAATGACTGATTCTGTTGGTCCTGGAGAAAGCACTGCATAAACCTCATCAGGCTCATTTCTTCACTGGATATACTGTAAGTAGTGGTTGCCAGTCACTTGTCGCCTGAGTGCTCATCCATGCGATCTTCCCAGAAGTCTATCTGTGTACCTGGTCACTTGAATCACCTCCAAGTTCCTTTGCCTCCCAGATCATCTGGTCATGACTAATACTGCTCCTTCAACCTCCTGGCATTCAAGTGCACCACTCTGCACAACCTGGCCGCTCCAGCAATTTAGCAAAGCCGCAGCTGTGAACACTTAACCGGGGATTGCTAGCAACGGAAGGAGGAGAATATAATGACAGAGTATGCCAGACAGGTAGAAGCAGAAGCTGGAACTGGCATTGTTAAAGTTACTTATCACTTTAATACTACCCCAAATCTTACCCTGGACCTCTCCACACCATTGCCTCTGACAGAGTCTTATAACTGATTTTCTTCTGTGTAGGATATTGTTAGGTTGATGCTTAGTGTAATGTTGTATTGGCCTTGTAAGTCAATTTGGATAAAAGTATCTGCTGGGGTGCTACACAGGTCTCATTTACTGAAGCTCATGAGGTTTTCACTACATGCTGCTGCTGACCACCAGATTGTGTGGCTCCACAGCACATTTGGTCATTTCTGAATAATCCTGTTGAATTGATATCAAAATTAAAGTATTAAAACACATTTAATGACGTTTTGGCAAATGGAGCTGAAAATATTACAACAGTTCCTTTTTTGGAATCCACAAGTGAGATGTGGAAGGTCTGGCTTGTGTTAAGGGAGTCAACCTTTGGATCCTCATGAAATTATTTTTTGTCTTTCTGGCGGTTTCATGGTGTGGGGGGCCCCACAACTGAAATTCACATTCCTAATGCTAATGGACTATCAAAAGTCCATTAATGGGAGTGTTACACTTCTGTGTCTCTCAAAACAAACATCTTCTAATACATAACATTGTATCACTGGTATTAAAGAAACTTGCCATCTAAAACAGTTCTGTTTGCCTGGTGAGTTAAAGAAATGACCTTCCTGGAAGACGGGTTCTCTGATTCCAAGTGCCAGTGCTCACAGCCTTTGGTAGATGAGGCAATGCCGGTTTAAAGGGAAACAAGCATCTGCACTGCAAAACAAATAAATTTTGCCCCAGCAAATGCCAGTTGTGTGAGCTCACTCCAAAGGCCAGAGGCCAGTGAGATGTATATGTGTGTGTATTTTTTGTGGTTTGTAGCAAATAAATGGTATCTATCATAACACCAGAATTTTTTCTGACCACATTGAGTAATCCTGCCTGGAGCAGTGAATACAAATGACAAAAGAAGCATACAAACATATTCACATACTGTTCACTCTTTTCATGCCCATATACCTGCACACGTGAACAAACATAATAATGTGTACACCACCCAGGGGGCATGAAAGGGAAAGCCTCTCTTTGGGTTCCTCTTAGTCTGCAAAGCAAGAGATGGCTGGTGTCCACAAAAATAATCTAAATAGAGTGCAACAACTAAAGTGTTTCCACTGAATTAAAACTCAAAATAAAATTGAAGCACTTCAGTATACTGAATTATGTAATCTTTTCACTGTTAGTTTTGGCTGTTGGTGCATTGGCAATCTCAGATGGATATGAGAACCATTATTAGGCTTAGCAACAATACAAAATATCAGAAAAAAAAATTTTGTTTGGATGCTAGGGTTTAGGAAGTAAAAATGCATATAAACGCTTCTAGATGTGACTGTATTTATTTCTCAACGAGCATTTTCTGATGATCACTGTAGAACTGAAAAGATTTATTGAAGAGATGCATGGAATTGTGATTTTTTTTCCACAGATCTGTCCTCAAAACCTCACACTATTTTTTCTACCCCTGACCATATATTTAATATTTTTAAGTTATGTAATGTTTTCTGCTTGAATGGTAGTTTTGTAATGTATTCTATATATGGGAAAGAACACGCTGAAGATGAAGAACTGACATGTTGTTAAAACAGCTAAGACTTGTGCATCATCTCATACCTCCTCATTTTGTTTCTATTTTACATTACACAATAAATATTAAGAGGCTGTTTGATTGTTTCTATAATGCTGTTTTCACACACATAAATGTGCTCTCAGCAATATCAAGTTCTGTCAAATAATGAAACCCAACAAAGACCTCTCAGCCAACAGAAAGTAAGCAGATCCCTGTAAAACAGGTGGCGGTCAACCAACTTCACCACTGATGGCCTATGTACAGTTGTAGTGTCTGAAACACATAGTAAAGCACAGACTGTTCTGTTCGTAGAGCACAACCATTGGATAAAACACATTCAACTTCACCACTGAGGGCCTATGTACAGTTGTAGTGTCTGAAACACACAGTAAAGCACAGACTGTTCTGTTCGTAGAGCACAACCATTGGAGAAAACACATTCCTAAAGTGGAGCGTAGGGAGGATGCTCAAGCTATGAATGAACTATGGAGACGGCCTGGCAAAGGACAAAAAAAGATGTTCATGATAGGGACAAGGTATACCCTACACTGTATGTAATTTTCCTGTAAAATAACAGTAAAGAGCTAGCAGCAGAGACGCCAGCAATGTACCGTTATTTTTACGGTATTCATCCATAAATTTATTTTACAGTAGTAGACCGTAAACCAGAAATACAGTATATTTCTGTAGATTTCAATGAGTTACGGTAAAAAGCTGGCAGCTAAGACACCAGCAATATACTGTAATTTTAGGGTTTTCATACCGTAAATTGACTTTACAGTAGTAGACTGTTTTCTCACTGTTCAATGTCCAACACAGTCCAACACAGTAAAAAATAAATGCATAAAATTTCTATTATTTGGAAATTGTTTAAGTTTACTGTAGAGAGGCACAGTAGATACACATTACAATAATTCAGTTTAGCAGTTTCCTAAAATATCAACCTTGAATACATGCAATCAATATAACAACTTCATTATTCTACAGACAGTTGCTCAAGCATTATTATGAATATTGTGCAAAATAAGCAATAAAATCAAAGAGAATCAAAATAATTTATTTCAAAAGGCAATATAATACTAAATACTGCTACTTTAAAAAAAATGAGGAAAAAAACATAAACAAACCCTGTTGGGTGATGCTGACAAGATATTCCGTGTAGCAAACAAAGACAGCTGACTATTATATTATTCAACATTGTCTTTAATACACATAAGTTTCAACACTTGTTGAAGACCAACACAACAAATACAGAGGAAATAAGAGTTTAAACATTATTAAGAATACTTCAAAGTAGGAACGTTAAGACCTTTTTGATTATGAGTAAAAAAATTCTGCAAACCAGCATGTGTTTTTCCTCTTAAAATAGTCCTGTGAGATACATTAAAATTTCCTCTAAACTCCACTTAAAAGATGCATATTATGTAATCTGCAATGTATTTTCAGATGTCTGTGAAAATGCAGAATACTGTATGCAGAATTGACAACATTTGGAAAACAAACGTAAGAACATTTTGAAAAAGTGCATCATGGCCATTTCAAAAATATTACAGTACAGTTAGAACATGTGGATTTATACATCATTACAGTGATATGGATAAAAGAGAAGATTTAGGGAAGAAACTGTACTTTACTTCTTAAAGTAGTCCTGTGAGGTAGTAGTAGTAATAGTCCCGGGAATCTGGGTGGGTGTGAACCACCCTGATTCAAATCTTGTGGATCCAGGAGAGATGTTCAGTTTGTTAGCCGCTGTTCCTCTGCAGCATTATTCCAGTGGAGCCACTGTCAAACAATAACAAACAAATATTATACAATCAGGAATTTACAATATACTCTCCAAGCTAATGCTTATAAAACTAATAAATTCTTGTGGCTTAATGTGGCAATGCCGGATTGTCAAAACAACACATGGACAGACGGCAAGATTAAGGAGAACTCACTGATTAATATGACGTCCCATTCAAAGTCAAGGAGTTTCTTCAGGAGCATGGAGACGGGTGTGTTGACTGTGGAAGACTTCTTCTGGACGATCACACCTTTATTCTTGGAGACAACCTTACCCCTTTTGGCCTTTGTCCCTCTCTCTGGATTTGTACCAATGAAGCGCCTAAAATCATCAAAATTATAATAAGGTCTTGTGTGTGTGTGCATGCGTGTGTGCGTGCATGCGTGTGTGCGTGCATGCATGTGTGCGTGCGTGTTGTGGTTTCAAAATACTTTTAATGATGACAAGGAATAAAGGAGCTTTTACCTCTGAATGAATTCCAAAATACAGGCTGCCTCATCTTGATACTGAAGGTTGAATATGTAGTATATTGCAAAAACAGCAGCAAGTCCTGTTACAAATGTCGGTGTGATGCCCTCAGAGATTACACGGCCCTCAAGAGTGATCCTCCAACCGCTAACTGTGACTTGCCCTGTTGCACCTGAAACTTCAAGTCATAACAACATGAAATTGCATATCACTGTATGTCAACATTTGTAAACTCAAGATGACCAGCATGGCATCTTTCAATGAATCTAAATGAAACGTATACCATGAAGTATCAGGCGAGGACTTGCAGGAAGACTGAGAGTTGTCTCAACGTCAACAAGTACATACATACAAGATTTTTAAGACAAAAGAATTACAAAAAGGTAAATAATTAGAAAACAGAGAAAGAAAAAAGAAAACTTACATCTGCAAGAAGGATCAGCCCAGTTAGGTGCTCTCCAAAGTGTGACATAAGCAGCTGAACGACACGAAGTGACAGTTCATTATCTTCACCCTTAGAGATGACATCCTTGACAGCTTTGTTAGTAGGTTTTTCCAGGAAGTATTGAGTGATAGCCCTTCCACATTCTTCAATATCAAGTTCCAAGCTACGAAGCACGTTGATGTCTGTAAGCAACTCAAAATGTGCATATATACATCTTGGCATGAAAAGAAAAGGCCATTTGGTTTTCAGATCTTCAGTGTCAGTTGGTGGAAGTGTATTTATATGGCGACGTTGTACAGCGAATGTGAGCTCCGTTAGTTTTTTAACCTCGGCTCTTTCTGTCAGGGTTCGTGTTGCCGTGCTCTGTTTTGCTCAGCTTCACAGGTGGCTGCAATTGAATGGTGGGCGTGGCCCCACACCTGAGATTCATCAGACACTCTACGGGCTGGCATTTAAGGATCAGGCAGTGAGCAGGAGAACGCCAGAGTGTTACTCAGTTATGGTACGCCGATGCAGACCAAGCTCTTTGAGGATCGCAAGCTCGTGAGTGTTATTCGCCTCGTCCCTCACGTTGACCCTTTTCTCTGTGCCCCGCAGTTTTCGTTCCCTGGACTCGTGCCTCTCGGACTCGGTGCTCCGCAACCAGCTCCGGATCCAGCCCTGCTCGGGTCCGGCTCTCGCTCTCCCTGGATCCGTCTGGTTGCCGTCAGCTCCGGCCCTCCTGCCGCTCTGCCTGATACCTTGCCACCGCAGCCCGTTCCCAGTCAGTGCCGCCGCCTCCAGCCCCCTGTCATTCAGCCACCTAGCTGTCAGCCACGGTAACCGAACCCGGCTCGCTCACCCCCCGCAGATCGGTCCTCGCTCGGACTGACCATCCGAGGACCCGTCGCTCCGACCGGAGAGGTTGAACATCTCCCAGTGTATAGAAATAAATTAACTTCAACTGATTCCTGTTCTCTCGTCTAAGTGTCTGCATGTGGGCCCAGAAACTGAAAACCATGACACTTTCTCCTCCGCCAGTCTCTAGCGGTGCATCTCCATAGTCTCATTTGTTTCTTCTGGGGGGAGCTCTGGTTGAAATCTTGTGCGTCCATATGTGTCAGTTGGACCCCTTTTTTGTTTGCAGGATCGGTGGTGTAAAAAGCTTCCGCCACGGTTCACATTCTCAATGCGGTTTTTCACTTGAATCAAAAGTGATGTGTAACCTCCACCAAGAAGAGACCCATCTGGTGTCATGTCAGCAAAACTCTTTGGGTACTACCTGATGATATTTTGAACCACAGATAGGCACTGTGCACGATTGGGATTAGCTTCATATCTTCTCATTTCATCTGTGAGTATTGGTACCATCTGGCGACGTTCCACTGGTTTAGGTCTCTTGCCATCTGCAATTGCAGAATTTCATGTGGCATTTGTTCCCAAGGGACCTGGAATGTTTCTGGCCATGTTTTCAGTATCTGAGATCTGGAAGGTCTGTTGCTTGGCTCACAGTTCCTTGCCTGGTCTGAACATGATGCAATTGCCGATAGCTCTGATTAGCTAGAATGAGGCGGAGTGCATGATAATGACGACTCAGGTGCTGACAAATCACTACTGAGTGGTGTTAAAGTTGGAATGGCTTCTAAATCCAATGGAACCATCTCAGTTTCTAAAAAACAAAAAAATAATTAGTGCACAAAATTAATTAAATAACCCTTAAATGTGCTAATTATAAATACACATTTTAAATGGAAAATCAACCTTACAAGCCAAGAGGATTCAAGTGTCTTTTTTAACGGAACTAGCTTAATTCCATTAACTCATTGTAAAACACACTTTATTAAGAGTTGACACAAACAAAATAAAATTCACCAAAACTATAGCCTACCTCAAGGTGATGCTGACTTGATTGAGATAAATCCTTAACCGCTGGACAACATATAATTATTCCAGTAACTTAATTTACCTTACTGCTTGCGAAGGTCTTTGAAGTATTCTGTCCACCGACCCACAACATCACAAGGTGAGGTCAACAGTGCACCATCCTAGTGTTGGTGGGGCATTTCTTCCCCCCCTTAGACACCAGATGGTGGACCAGAATCGCCTTGAAGCCATACGGAAGTCTTTTTCCATGGCTTCCCCGAACTCCTTCCACCCCTGAGTTTTTGCCTCTGCAACCACCCGAGCCAAATGCCCCCACCATTGGAGCCAACTCACCACCAGGTAGTGGTCAGTGGAAATCTCCAGGCCCCTCTTCACTCAAGTGTCCAAGACATGTGGCCGCAGATCAGCCAAAATGCAGACAAAGTTGATCATTGAGCTGAGGCCTAGGGTGCCGAGAGCACATATGGACACCCTTATACCTGAACATGGTGTTCGTTATGGACAATCCATGCCGAGCACAGAAGTCCAAGAACAAAACACCACTCGGGTTCAAGCTGTGGGGGCCATTGCTCCAAACCACGACCCTCCAGGTCTCACTGTCACGTGAGTCCCCCAGTGGAGCAAGGGAGTCCCCAGGGGGGCACCCTGTCTAAGGACTCCAAAAAGGGTGGGTAATCTGCACTACAGTTATGCGCATAAGCAGTAACAACAGTCCCCACCCATCCCCCCAACGAAGGCAAAGGGAGGCTACTCTCTCGTTCACCGGGGTGAACCCCAATGTACAGGCATCAAGATGGGCGGCAACAAGTATGATTGATTGATCAATCTCTAAGGCTCAAGCTCCTTCTCCACCAGAGAGGTGGCGTTCCACGTCCCTAGAGTCGGCTTCTGCAGCTGGGGATTGGTTCGCCGGGGTCCCCGTCTCCGGCCACAACCCGAAACAGATTGCACCCGAACCTTTGACCTCTCCTATGAGTGGTGAGCCCAATGGGGGACCCATGAGGCCTCTTCGGGCTGAGCACGGCCATGCTCCGTGGGTTAAAGCTCGGCCACCAGGCGCTCGGCCACCAGGCGCTCGCCAACGTGCCCCACCTCCGAGCCTGACTGCAGAGTGGGGCCCTCGTGACCCGCGTCCGGGCGAGGGAGAAATATATAAATTTGTGTGAATCATCATAAGGTATCGTCTGATCCCTTACCTAGGATCTGTTTGCCTTGGGTGACCCTACCAGGGGCTTGAAGCCCCGGACAAAATGGGACACTTGGGACACTCAAACCCCTCTGGCCCTGGAAGGGCGGGGGCAACTGAAAAAGTATCTACAAAATATAGAGTCAAAAGTAAAGAAACATTCAAATGGAAGGGAATTATAAATACAGGGGAAAGGTCACTCTTCTGTGTATCCTGAGAAGCCAACATTAGGTATTGTTTTCCGTTAATGGGTGAGTGTTGTTTTTGTGCAATCTATGATCTGCAAGAAACACCTTCTTCAGATTTGTGATGGCTCGATGCATTTATTGTATCTTAAGTCGGGATACAGTTTCAATCAAACAAAAGCACTTCCCTTGTGACACAATTCCTGATTTAATATAAATAAGCTAGATCTTATTAGGGGCGAGATATTGGCTGTCTGACTTCAAAATAAAAATCGCTTGCTCCCCCAGTGAAACATCCTGTGAGTCAGACCTTATTTTCAGGGGTTGCTTCAGGTCCTTGTTTCGACTCTGTCTTTTCTTGTCGCTTTTCATTTTCTTCATTTTCTTCAGACTGCGTCTTTCACTTTTCTCTGCCTTCTTTTCTTTGGTTCTGGAGCTGCTTATTGTCTTCCAACTTCCTATTCACAACTCTTTTCTAATTTTTCCCTCATTTTCTGCCTGGATGGAGAAATTGATTTGGCACCTTCAACAGACCACATCACTTTAATTTGACACTTGATCCAACTGTAGGTTGTCTTTGCCCAGAAAATCCTAAACACTTTAATTCACTTTTTTGTGTCTTCGCTGCAGTTATTTTCCTTCTTATCACTGTAGGTGTATCACTCTTCAGTGGAACTGTGCTTATGTAATCAAACTTGATAGACTGTTTACTCAGGCGTGAAAGACCCTTTTACAGTGATGCTACTGAGCCAAAGCCTGAGCTGTGGTTGTCATCCCTGTTTCAGCTTCCATGACTAATATCTGCATGAAAAGTCACATGCACTTTGTTCTACACACAGAGTGAAGTAATTGACACTTAAGATACTGTATGGTATGATACAGTCAATGTATCAGTTTGTTAAAATTTATTAACAAGAATTTCTAATCTGGAATCTCTATAAGAATTGTCTTGGTGTTAAATTTAATCTCCTGGGGTCTGTGACACTTTATTTATATTTGTCTCTCTTTTGTTGTAAAAAGAAATTACACTGTAGTAATATCAGATACAAAACAGAAGTAATCAGCTAAATCTGCTGAAGAACGGTGAGCCAATGTAATTAAACTGATGATAAATAAAAGTGCATGTAAATGCAGATGAAATGCAACTCTGCAGTTATAGTTTGATCAGTTTTAAACAACTATGGAATATTTTCAACTTGGCTGAGCTCTGGGGCCCGCTGACTGAATGCAATTGGGGTGAACAGGACAGGGGTCACATTGGCTGAAAGCTGAGAAACAGACCTACATAACTATGTCTAACGATGGTCAACGACGACCCAGGCAAATGGGGGAGATGTGAGAGGTCCCACAATGTAACCAAACAGTCCATTTTGGAGGCCCAGGCAGAAATGCCATTCATTCTCTATGGGAAATGCATTGGGCCCCGTTCTCCTAAACCGTTCAAGTAATGCCAGAGATATTTACAAGCACTCATCCCCAGTCTGAGACATACTATTTGGTGAGGGTTGGATCAATATTTCGCAAGAAGCCAACAGACCCCTGAAAATAATGTTTTAAGGAGAAAAACAGAGCATGGCCATTGGTAGACACAGAGCTGGAGGGTTCTGGCTGAGCTCTGGGGCTCGCTGACCAAATACCAATGGTGTGGGCAGGACGGGGGTCACACTGGCTGAAAGCTGCCAAAAAAGGTTTGGTCATGAGAGGCCAGAGTTTGACTTTTTTTCCGGTGAACGTCCCCCCAGGGATCTTAGAGGCTTTAACGAGGAGGCTGGAGTGAGTGGGCAGACTTGAGGATTTTCAGATTTTCACTAAAATGTCAACAGCGACTGCGGGTAAACGGTGCGAGATCGGGCTTCATGGCACCAGTATTGCAAGGGGCCATCATTCGTGACCCATTCAATTTTCGAACAAGGTCTCTTGGAAATCGTGGGGCCAAGCAATAAGGCCCGAAAGCGGGCCATGTTTGGGCCTGTTTTCGGCCTTCCCATTCATTTCCTATGGGACAGCGTTTCACCCTTTTTCGCCATTTATTCGCAAACGCCTGGACTAATGAGAGAGAAAAATACAAGCACACTTCCCGTGGTCGGGTCAGACGGCCTGGCACTGGCCGTGGCACCCCTAATAAGCTCACTTTATGTCTGCGGTCCTGCGCAATCACTTTCACATGCTGCCTTGCATTAAAAACTTGTGACCTGAATAAATTACACTTACAACATTAAAACATAAGTCCACTCAGAAAAGGATGACTTCACTTGAGATTTATATTGTCAATGCACATTTGTCAATTACATGTGTTCCTCAGACAAAAGGTCTGACTCACTGCCAACATGAGTCATAGCAGATGTGTCTTAGAAATATGGATAAAAGTTGATTTTCCAGCAGACGTTGGAGGAATAACCTGACGTGTTGGTGATGCTCCTCCAGGGAATGCGAGAAGATAACGATATCATCTAAATAAATGAAAAAAATATGCTGGAGCCTGTCCCGGAATAGGTCATTCATCATGGTCTGGAAAACAGCATTAGTAAGATGAAAGGGCATGACAAGATATTCAAACTGACCCAGTGGTGTGTTGAATGCCGTCTTCCATTCGTACCCCTCCCATATACGGATGAGATGGTAAGCATTCCAAAGACCCAGTTTTGGAAAAGACCTGGGCATGACATAATGGCTCGAAAAAGAAGGATCGACGAGTGCCTGAAGCAATCAGCAGGATCCAATGAGTACGATCATCACAGATATCTCCTTTTCACCTATTTTCCCCCTTCCCTTCCTTTTTCTGTTTGAGAACTACGGCTCTGCCATCTCTCTCCAGTATGTTTTAATAAAAAAATGCCAAGAGACAGTCATCATGCAATCACGGTGTTCCTGTGTTGAATCTGTTGATTTACCCACCGGTTGCACTTTTGCTTTCATATCTCGGAGCCTCTCTCTGCATTTTACTTCCTGATATCTAACACCTAACACTTCTCAACGCAATTGACATGATCTTTTCTAACCAAAGACTAGGCGCAGGGGCTGCATCTTGTCCAGCTGGGACTCACCCTGCAGGTCATACAATGGATTCCTGGAAGACTTGGAGGGTTTTATGCCTTTCTGTTCCTGCTGATTGGAGTTGGTGGATATTTATCGACAAATTTGGAAGCTGATGGCAGCTGATGGCAGGTTTCCGTTCGAGCCGCTGCTCCAAGTCATCAACACTCAGGCTCAACTTTGTGTGAGCTGACTTGCAAACATGATGCAGCGTGCCTTTTTCCTCTCTCCCCCCTGCTCCTCTACCTATGTTGTATTTTCATCATGTATCTGAACAAATCCTGTATTTTTTAGTTCATCAGGTGTTTCAGGTGTGTGGACATTGTTTGTGCTGAAGTGGCAGAGTCTCAGTTCCTCTGATTCCTGTATGTAGGTGTTTTTGTTGTGTTGTACTGGGACGCTGGTTATTGACAGTAAAAAGCTTCTGATTCTGATTCAGAAATTTGCCTGGTAAATGTGTACCCCTGTAGAGCCCCTGGTGAAAACAGAAAAATACATGCAATCTTAAATGACCAGAGTATGGTGTCATTGGCTCCACCTGTTCCACATTTTTTTATATATTCAGCTTACATGGGGAAGCCTTCCCATATACAGGGGTTGGACAATGAAACTGAAACACCTCTCATTTTAGTGTAGGAGGTTTCATGGCTAAATTGGACCAGCCTGGTGGCCAATCTTCATTAATTGCACATTGAACCAATAAGAGCAGACTGTGAAGGTCCAATTAGCAGGGTAAAAGCACAGTTTTGCTCAAAATATTGCAATGCACACAACATTATGGGTGACATAGCAGAGTTCAAAAGAGGACAAATTGTTGGTGCACGTCTTGCTGGCGCATCTGTGACCAAGACAACAAGTCTTTGTGATGTATCAAGAGCCACGGTCTCCAGGGTAATGTCAACATACCAACAATAAGGACAAACCACATCCAACAGGATTAACGGTGGACGCAAGAGGAAGCTGTCTGAAAGGGATGTTCAGGTGCTAACCCGGATTGTATCCAAAAAACATAAAACCACGGCTGCCCAAATCACGGCACAATTAAATGTGCACCTCAACTCTCCTGTTTCCACCAAAACTGTCCGTTGGAAGCTCCACAGGGTCAATATTTACGGCCGGGCTGCTATAGCCAAACCTTTGGTCCCTCGTGCCAGTGCCAAACGTCGGTTTCAATGGTGCAAGGAGCGCAAATCTTGGGATGTGGACAATGTGAAACATGTATTTTTCTCTGATGAGTCCGCCTTTACTGTTTTCCCCACATCCGGGAGAGTTACGGTGTGGAGAAGCCCCAAAGAAGCGTACCACCCAGACTGTTGCATGCCCAGAGTGAAGCATGGGGGTGGATCAGTGATGGTCTGGGCTGCCATATCATGGCATTCCCTTGGCCCCATACTTGTGCTAGATGGGTGCGTCACTGCCAAGGACTACCGAACCATTCTGGAGGACCATGTGCATCCAATGGTTCAAACATTGTATCCTGAAGGAGGTGCCGTGTATCAGGATGACAATGCACCAATACACACAGCAAGACTGGTGAAAGATTGGTTTGATGAACATGAAAGTGAAGTTGAACATCTCCCATGGCCTGCCCAGTCACCAGATCTAAATATTATTGAGCCACTTTGGGGTGTTTTGGAGGAGCAAGTCAGGAAACATTTTCCTCCACCAGCATCACGTCGTGACCTGGCCACTATCTGCAAGAAGAATGGCTTAAAATCCCTCTGACCACTGTGCAGGACTTGTAAATGTCATTCCCAAGACGAATTGACGCTGTATTGGCCGCAAAAGGAGGCCCTACACCATACTAATAAAGTATTGTGGTCTGAAACCAGGTGTTTCAGTTTCATTGTCCAACCCCTGTACAATGAAAACATGCTCTGGGACAGTGAACACACAGGGGCCCAGAGCTCAGGGCTTTGCCATCGAGGACATACACGTAAAAGTGTCAATTGCACTACCCATACTTTCGTAATGTAATCATATACAGGAGTGAGAGACCCACCCCTGAAGCTGCAGCTGCGCATCCTCACCTATCTCAGGTAGCCACAAAAATACCACCACTTGATAATCGGCTGACATTCTTCCCCTGCTAGGCTAAGATGCCATTCAGGCTCACATCAACCATGGATTTCGTTGGCTGGTCTCTCAACACTATTGCCAATATTTTTTCTACCCAAAGACAAGCTGCAGGGGCTTCATCTTTTCCTTCTGGGACTCACCCAGTTGGTTACATAATGGATGCCTGAAAGAAATGGAGGGTTTTATGCCTTTCAGTTCTCTCCGTGGAGGACGTTGAGGATCTAGACGTATTTGAATTCATGATAACTGGGTTCCGGCTGATTGGAGTTGTTGGATACCTGGGTTAATGAGAAATTCGGAAACTGATGGCAACTGGTGGCAGGTTGTCGATCAAGCCGCTGCTCCGAACGATCAACATTCAGACTCAAACTTTGTGCAAGATGACTCGCACACACGACACTCTGGATAGCAAAGTGGATGCTCAGGAGAGCAAACAGGATGCTCCATGGGGCAGACTGAGGACGATGTCTGATTGCATGAGGGAGACGGGTACCAACTTGGAGAAGTTGGTGGTTCAGATTGAGGGAAACTAACACAATTTGGATTAATTGGAATTGTTATTGAGGGACCTGCTGAGGACAAAGCTATCTCTCTTATCTCTGCCCTGGACGGATCTGCAGATGTACGCTCTGCCTGTATCTGTGCTTACTTGTGTAGAGGTGTGTAATTATATCATTGTTATATCTCCTGTAGGAGCCGAGGCAGTGGGACTTGACTTTTTTTTCCCTCTTCACCCCCAACTCCTTCCCGATGTTGTCTTTTCTTTTTCTAAAGGAAAAGGGCGCTTCCAGTTGGGCTGCGCCTCACAGTCTTGTGGAGTCAAATTCCTTGTATGGTCACACATACTCGGCTGGTTCTGATTCTGATTTGCCACCAGGTAAACAGATCAAAATGAAGCACCTTATGCCCAACAGCTTTATCTTGGGTTGATAATTATTGGAGACATGTGCCTCTCAGGAGCCCACAGACCCACAGCAAAATTTTACAAGACGGACATACTTGATAATGGCCACCTCAGTTTTCTCTTTCCCTGTGAAAGCAGAATTTAAACAAAGGGGAAGTTCCCAGAAGATTAAACTTTTTGTGAGAGGACACAACCCAAACGTGAGCTGAGCAAATGCATCTCTGAACAAACATCAAATGATGACAAATTGGCACTCACACATTTTTTTAATGTTATGCGTGATGGGATTGCTAAAGATGGGGAAAACGACTGGGTGGCTCACCTACTTTTACCACATCCACAACACGGCTTACCTTACAACAGAGAGCAGGCTCACTAAACAAGACATTAAAAAGAAAGCCAGAGATTAAAGAGAACTACATGGAGTTTATTGAAAATACATTCAATAAATGACACGCAGAATGGGGTTTCCTCTCACACCCAATCAAGAATATTGGTATCTCCCAAGCTTTGGTATTTACCGTATACAAAAAACTGGTAAAATTGGAATTGTCATTGATTCAAGTGCTCAGTGTGAAAATGTGTCTCTTAAGTAAGCGCTCCAAAAACGCCCCAATCTCAACAAGTCTTGTAGATGTGCTTGTATGAGGCGAACCATATGCTGTGATGGATGATGTCGAGGAGATGTTTCACAACTTTATGGTAAGGGAGGACCATTGTGATTATCTGAGCTTTTGGTGGTTCCATGATTACAACCTGGACGTCACAAACTGGACCGACAACTGGATGAGTTTCAAATGACAGTCCATGTGTTTGGGAACTGTCCATCCCCCTCAGACACCATTTATGGATTCAAGACAATTGCTATTGCAGGAGAGAGGGAGTATGGCAGCAATGTGAGGAAATGTATTGATCACCATTTTTACGTAGATGATGGGCTAAAGTCATTCTCTGAAGACAAGGCAAGCAGCGTCCTTTACAAAGCATAAAAATACTGGCATCTGGTTGAGAGCTGATTGACAGCATTGACGTATTTCAGGAAATTATTTTCCTGGTAGGACTTGTATCTTACAACAGAGGTGGTGTCCACGTCCATCTCTGAGTCTGAGCGCAAGAATGCACCTGAGGTGATTTAAAATGTGTTTAGAGTAAAAGTACTCACCAAAATGCAGGCTTGTAATCAGGGTAATGTATTTTCTCTGTCAGAATGTATGCTTGAAGACAAGTTGTCATATGATCTGTGTAAAAAGAGTAAAGCCCAATGGTGCCAATTTCTCTTTTAGAGGATAAATTCTTGGTAAGTGTTACAGGCACATTTGCTAACTTTAGCAAATTGATATTGTTGGTCTGGCTATCTCAGCTTCATCAAGACCTCTAGTAAAATTTTTAAACATTTCCTTTGGCAGGGCATATGTGTGCATTATTTCAGGGCATAGCACACCTGCAAGGTAAATGGTATATGTAACCAGAAATTTCTTTCAGCTCATCTGCATCCTGTTCCAGTGGTTGGACCACCCTTTAAGCATGTTATTGTTGACTGCATGGCACCCTTACCAAGGACTAAGTCTGTGTAATAGTTTTAACTCACCATAACTTGTATAGCTACATAGCTGATGTTGACACTTTAGAGAATCATCACATTGCATTTCAATCAGTTCTAACTGCAGCCTATCACCCACTTCCTCTTCTGCTTAATTTGTTTTTAATTGACAGAAAAATCTTGGAAACGTCGGTTGAATTCTGTCACGAGAGATTAAATCACAGACAGATATTCATCCTTTTTAGCGGAAAGATCAGCCTTGGGAAAAGCAAACTTGATTTGAGACAGTGCAGGGAAGTGTGCAGCATTAAAGCCTCCTAGTTGTGTCACAAACAGGGGGATGTACATATACAGGTGTGGCACCAGCTGTTCTTTTCCTTGTAGATTATTGTTCAATGTATTCAGATGATGCGTAAGATCAGCTAAAAAAGCCAGGTCTACCAGTCACAGAGGGTCACTTGGTTCATGAAGAGGTCTGCCCTTCTCTCTTAAAAACTATTTCTGATCTCAGCGAATAAAACCGCTGCAGCACAGAGCTGTGGCTGAACCAGTGCACATCAGAGTCGTAGAGTACATCCCTGTATACAGCATCCACATCAGATAGAAAAACCTGAAATACTCTGTGGTGCAATCTTCTAGCTTGAATTGCGTTGACAGTTTTTACAACAATGTTCATCACATCGCCCAACTGGAAAGTCTTGGCACACGGTGCTTTTTGGTGGATTTTGCAGTGCATCCTAACAGCCTCACCTTCACTCTCTTTTACGTTGGTGCACACCAACAATGCCATTCCCTTGCGTTCGCCCGTCATGGCCGGAGCACCATCTGTTGTTACTCCACAGAGCTTGTGCCATTTAAGCCTCATCTTTTCAACTGCCACTGACACAGCTTCAAAACATATTTTTCCGTCGTTGTGCCTTTTGGGCTAATCATATCAAGCAGTTCCTCCATAGAGCAAACATTATAATCTACCTCCCACAAAAAAATGAACATTTGCAGTAGTCTGTGGCATCTGTGCTCTCATCGCAAGCTATCGAGTAAAAAATCAAAGCATTGTCTCTCAGTTGAAGTTTCAAGTTAGCTGACTAGTCCTCAATTCTCCACACCATTGTATTTCTGGATAAGCACACATTGTTAAAATTCAGCACTTTTTCTGGGCACATTATTTCTGTGACTTTGATGAGGCATTGCTTTATGAAATCTGAAAACAGTTTGCCGTGCAGGGCAATAAGTTCAACGACTTCATAACTTTCTTTTGTGGTGTTTTCCTGTATTTTGTTGGCACGGAAAAAAAACTGCTGTTGAGCTTGCAGGATAGCTGCATTTGCCTGACTTTCTGTGTTCGTTCGGCACCGGTGTACAATGTGTAGCTCTAATGTTTGGTCTCATAATGCCGACGGACATATGCTTTTATCACAGCAAAATCTTCATTACTAATCAAACAGACACATTTTCTATTTATTTCTTTGAATAATTGCTTATTTTCCCTCCGTATTTAAAATGTTCTACACTCTTGCTGTTTTGCGTTTCTTTGGTGTTGCCTTTTCTGGTGACTGGTGGTAAAAGTTTTTCTTCGGTTAATTTAGTTTCTGTGGCTGGCTCCATCTAGTGTTGAACCTGAGAAATGTAACTGAGTTAGGCTCGCGCTTCTTGTGTTGGCCATATTCAATTATATTTTAAGTATTTGCTGCGGGCCAATAATCTATTCTTTGGAGACTCTCCAATAAAATAACATGGTTATAGCTGTTCATTGAATTAGTGGCAATTGATGAAGTCTGAAGTAGAGAACTTGGTAGAGCATGGACTGACCAGACTAATTTGAGTTTGACTCCCATGTCCTTTCAGACTTTCCGCTTCAGGAAAGGTCTCAAGCGGCCATGGAGTCAAGGCCACTCAGGAACCATGGGTAACAACCTACCAGCCCCTGCAAGGCCCAAGCCAGGACATGCTCAAGCACACTTAAATAAGGTTCCCAGAGTCAAATCTGGTCACAGGTGAGCACAGTAGTGAGAAGAGTCAAGGAGAAGGTGAATGCCTGTCCCCACCGCCAGGAACAGCACCAGAGGACGCTGAGTGCATACACTCGTCACTTGCATACACAAGAAGGAAAAAAATAAGGAATTCTGAGTCCCAAAGAGAAAGTAAAATTGGCAGGGAAGGTGTGCCCCTCTGTGACAGGCTAGTCTAGGGACAGGGAACCACATAGAACCTGGAACATAGTCCCCGCTCACCTGCCACTGCACAGGACCAGTCCTACCTACAGCCGTTTATTTGGAACAGGCATTTAATTTTACACATTGTGTAAAAATTTTTACATTTTACAAATAAACTGCATGAGAAAAGGTTTTCTTTTTTCTCAGACCAGAAAAAATGATCTGATTTGATTTATCTGATAAACAGCATTGATTATTCCACCTATAGACTGTAACATTTTAGCCCGGGTTCTTTACTGGAAACCTAAGAAAAAACCTTTCTTCCTACCTGAGATTCATGGATATATTCTTGGGCTGGCAACGCCCTGTACAATAGGCTGGGCTTCACAACCGAGTCTCATTGGCCAGTTACCTCGGAAGTGAACATGCCAGCTTCTTGTTCACTAATCACTGAATGTGCTAAAGAAGTGAATGGGTGTAATTTGGGGCATGTACCTCATACAGCATAACTAAGTGATAGATTTATGACAGTTAACAGGGCTTGGTCCCAACAGAAAGAGACAGAAAAAGAATGAAACAGAAAGCATAGAGTAGATACACAAGTCATAACTAAAAGCCAATTATAACACAGTTCTATAGATAGGTCAAACCCCGAGAATGACTCTAATGCTGAGATAAGGGCTCACTGTAGGCAACACCTTTTGTTACACTGTTGAACTTAGACTTACCACTGATCCAAATACACTTTGGGAAAATAATACATTTGACATTTTGAAATAAATTTTGATTGCATAACAGTGTGGTTTTCGTCCTGGCCGTGGATAGACCAGCTCTGGCTAGACCAGCTCTATACCCTCAGCGGGGTCCTGGAGGGTGCATAGGAGTTCGCTCAACCAGTCCACATCTGTTTTATGGACTTGGAGAAGGTGTTCGATCGTGTCCTTCGGGGTATCGTGTGGGGGCTGCTCTGGGGGTGTGGGGTACCCCGGGGTCTTGTTCGCGAATGGGGGTAGGGAGCGGGAGATCGATAGGCGGATTGGTGCGGCGTCTGCAGTAATGCAGGCGCTGTACCGCTCTGTCATGATGAAGAGAGAGCTGAGCTTAAAGGCGAAGCTCTCGATATATCTGTCGATCTATGTTCCCACCCTCGTCTATGACCACGAACTTTGGGTAGTGACCAAAAGAAACGAGATCCCGGATACGAGCGGCCGAAATTAGTTTCCTCCGCAGGGTGGCTGGGCTCTCGTTTAGAGATAGGGTGAGAGGCTCGGCCATCCGAGAGGGGCTCGGAGTAGAGCCGCTGCTCCTCCACGTTGAGAGGGGACAGTTGAGGTGGCTCGGGCATCTGATCAGGATACCTCCTGGTCGCCTCCCTGGTGAGGTGTTCCGGGCACGTCCCACCGGGAGAAAGCCCAGAGGAAGACCCAGGACACGCTGGAGGGACTATGTGTCCTGGCTGGCCTGGGAACGCCTGGGGATCCCCCCGGAGGAGCTGGCAGAAGTGGTAGGGGAGAGGGAAGTCTGGGTTTCCCTGCTTCGGCTGCTGCCCCCGCGACCCGACCCCGGATAAGCGTTGGAGAATGGATGGATGGATGAAGTTGTTCTAATATTTAATCATTATAAACATTTCAATTTGGAGCTGCTTGACTATTTGAATTTCCCTCACTGTGTTGTGTTCCGGGGTCCTGTCCATATTTTTTGGGTTGCCACGAGAGGTTTTCAGGCGCACCTCCCTGAACCCGTGACATCATCCAGCACACCTGATCCCAATCACCTCATCCAGCTGGGAGTATTTGAGGAGCGGACGGCCAGATCTTCAGCGCCTGAGTGTTAGCCAGTAACGGTACCTCCGAGCCTCCTCGAGCTTGTCTCTGAGTTTTAGTACTTCGATTCCTTGTGAGATTTACCTATTCTCAAGTAAGCCCGTTCCAGTTCATCTGTTCATTTCCGACAGCCCTCGAACTAACCACCCTGCCCAACCTTTCTCAGAAGGCTGGTCGCTCGGTGAGCCCCCTCCCGGACGACTCCCGTTCTCATCACACCCAGTGTTTCAATAAACCCTTTATCTCTGATCAGCCTCTCCTGTATTGTGTTCTGCATGTGGGCTAGAAAATAGGGGCCCATCATGACACACTGGTGGATAATTAAAGAATTTTTACATTCTATTCTATTTTCTACAGTCGAAAAATGTAGTCACTGATTTATCATGTTAATTTGTGCCAGCACCTAGGTGTAATTCTATTGTCAAACAAATCTATTGTTGTCATTTGTTTAACCTTTATGTATATATATATTTTTTTTCCATCCAAATATAATATAAAACTGTTATGATTTGTGCATACAAAATAATGAATGTGTAGTATGACATGAAACAGTATTTCTCATGTAAATCCATTCAGTTATCTTAAAAACAAATACAATCATCTGATTTTTTAGGTTTTAGGGATGACAAGATGATTTAAATTCTCTCATGGCTGTGAACTGAGGTTTGTGTGGCAAGAGGAGAACATCTGCATATCTTTGGACAATATGCAGATACACATAAATGGATGTACATGTCAGTGTTAAAACATTTACACTATGTAATTTCAAGATAACTGTCAGAAAATCTGCTCTCAACACTGCATGAACTTTTGACATAATTCTGAAAATGATTAGGTTCTTCAAATTGCAAGTGGCATAAAAAATTCCCATCAATGGTACAAAGTTCTGTACTGAAAAATAACTTCAAAGAATAAAATACAAGAACAGTTTAAAAACACATGAAAAAGCCATTCCACTAAAAATGATAATGACAGAATAAAACAAAGAATAAAGAGAAATAAAAATATTACAGTAAACATATTATGGTGTCAAAAGCCAAGGGTAAAACATTGATTTGTTTACAAGTTTCAGACATAGTATATATTGAAATAACGTATCAGCAGACACATCTTCAAAGTAAAAATAAATTGCAGCCATTGGTCATAAAACTTCCTAGTAGGTCCTTTCAGGCTATGCCTGTCTTATATGAATCTATATGACCAAAAACCTCTTTCATCCAATGAGCACTCACTCTCAAACTCTTATAATCAAACAGTGAGTTCAAAAAAGAAAGCAAATGCAAGGGATATTTTTTTATTGCACTCCTCATAGAAAAGATTGAATTCGGGAACATAAACTGATTCAATGTGTCTCATGTGCCATTAGTGAATTGCGCATATAAACAACACACATGGATGGCTCTACTTCACCAAGGATATCTGTATGAGCAATAGCCTCAACATCTTTCATCCAGACAATACAGTACCAGTTGGTACCAAATATTGCATCCAACCCAAGGTTGTTACAGGATATTTACGGATCCCTCTTCAAAATAACACTTGTGGTGCAAATCATGTGTTGTGTTCTGAACCCCTGAATGAGAAGAAACAAAGCCCAATCAGGAATATTACAATGGACACAATCCTGAAGATTTGTCTCCTTTTCTCCCCCAAAGCTGCTGTAGATCTGTTGTTGAAGATCTGAATGGCCTGCTGATGTTCTGACTTCTCCTCTTTCTTCTATGTCAGAGATTATTAGCACTTAACACACCGGTGGAGTAAACGTTCACGGTTTACTCATGTTTTTTCTTCACAGTTTTCTGTTGGTGCCCTTGGACACAAGGATCACCTGCTGGTTCAGCAGTTTATTAGCATGTTCTTACATTGGCTGGCATGACTCCAGGTTGCTCTCTCTGTGTAAGTGACCTGTAACACCTGAAATGGATCTTGTTTCTTCTGGTGGTTTCTTCAGAGCTCCCTCACCACCACTGATCTGACTGAGTGCAGAGGTGTGTCATCTGGAAGGGTGGAATTGGGAACCTGCAAAGTTCTGTTGGGCTAGGCCTTTGGAGAAAACGTACAGCAGTGAACTTTGAACCTGAGTCAATGAGATGAGGGGAGGCCTTGCTAATGTCTGCCTCAGTCCATGGTCGTAACACTGATATGAATCCTTTTGGACTGGACCAGCCACTTCAGTCATGGGTAAACTCTGTGACAAAGTGCTGGTTCTGATGTGGAGGCATCAGGCTGAGGGGTCGTCTTCTCTCCTTTAGCTCTGGCTTTCTCTGAACTTTCTCCTCATACTGTGGGCTGTTGAGCTTGTTGCTGGTGGGGAGGGCAGGAGCCAAGGTCCAGATCAGGTACGAAGTTTGTGCTCAGTGTGGGGTAGAGCAGTGCAGATGCATGGGGAGCAGAGGCAGAGAAGTAAAAAGTTAGCCATGCAGCAAAGCTTTCATTTTTTTGTTTTTTGGATGATAAAATAGATTCTACGAGTCTCATTTGTTTGGATAACTACATGATAAGATACTAGTGTAAAAAATGGTGTTTGATATGGCACCTGAACGGACTGTATATTAACTGGTTCGTGGAAAATTAGCAAACGGCACAGGTTGTCCGGCCAGAACAGATGAATAACCCCAATGACGACGCACACACACTCTTTGTAGGGAACAAGTCACACTGTGAAGTGTAAACCGTGGTTTACTAAAAGAATAGAAAAAGACATACAACAATAGACATGAGTTATATAGAATAACCACAAATGCACAACAGTAATGAATAAAGTAAAATATATACAAATATATACAAATATATACAGGAGTGAAATGAATATGAGACATAAAATGCAATTGACCCCAGCAACTTGCACAATACAGACTCAATGAAAACACGGAATGTGTTGTGAAGAGAAAAAAAGGCGCACTGCCCCTTTAAGAAGAGCGAACGTAACGTTCTGACGTGCCTGCACGCACAGCGGAGCGCTACACTCAAAACAAACACACAGACCTGTGTCGCTACTTCTCCGCTGGAGAAATACACAAAACAACAAGTCTGTAACACTCTGAGTAAACCGTGGCATAGAAAACAATAAGCGCCATTATTAAAGCACACCCGCGCTGTCGTCACGATATTACAATGTAATAACACGAGCGAGTGAACAAAACAACGGCAACTTACGTTCTCAGAGACGTACGGCTTAACACAGATATGGACATTGGAGTCTGAAATGTCCGTGAAAGAAACAAACAAAGAAGTTGACTCCTGAATTAGCAAACGGTCCAGCGTGGCTGCTTCCTCGGGTCACTCTGCACTGACTTGCGCACCTTCGATCCTGTTATAAAACAGGTTCGTGACGCTATGGCTATGCAGATGAGCTCGTGTCCAGCTCGTGCTCAAGGGTCTTGACCAATCACAGGGGTCACAGCTCTCTTGAGCATGCACTCAGAGCGTGATCAGTGACGGCCAGACACCTTGACGCCCAAATTCTGAACAGCCGCCCCCAACTTTGTGGAACAAAGTTGTAGCCATGAATGTCAGGGAGAAGTGTCTTCAGGAAGCGCTGGAAGTCTCACCGGGCGTGAGACTGGGCGGGTGTAGGTCCGGTCCTTGACCTGCACCTGTACTGTCCGTACTCTGCCATCTGCTCCGGGGACGACAGCAGTGACCTTGCCCACAGGCCACAGGACACGCGGGCTTGGCAGTGTCTCCACCTGCGCCAGCTCAGGATGTCAGCGTCGACCACCTGTGGCATGGACGGATCACGCCGCCCCATCAGAAGCATGTTGGGAGTGATGGAATCCAAGTCACAGCACCAGGAGTCTCTCTGCACCTCCCTGGCGATGGCGACCATCTCCGCTCACTCGTAGTCCTCCGCGCTGAACTCTGTCTGCTTGGCCGCCCCGTGACAGACTCTGACCGTGGCCTCCAGCAGCTCCGGGTACAGGCTGAAGTTACCTGCATCAGGCACTGCGGGGTCGGAGGTCACGGTGATGTGGCCGCAGAACTGGGACTTTCTCAGCCCAGCAGAGTCATCGGTGGTCTGAGGTGGAGGCTCAGGGCGAATGGGCCATGGTGCTTCGTCCTCCAGGTGCTGTCCTCTTGTCAGCTCTTGGATGTCCACGTTCCTGGTGCCAACAAATGCCTTGTTGTGGCAGGACTGGGACTGGAGCCGATCCAGGACTGTGGGTGAATCAGTCCAGTTGATGGCACCAGTTGTAGGCAGGGATAGCTCCTTCTGCAGGACAGATCCCAACCGAGACTCTGTGTGTGCAGCACAGAGTTCCAGTCGGGGGATGGACTGATGTCTGAATGAGGCCACTTGGGATCTTGCTGCCAGCGAATTGGCAGTTGCTGCATCCTGCTTGGGCTGGGTGACGGGTTTCTCGTTGAGGCCAGGCAACACGTCCATCTGCAACAGCTTGGAGCCCTTCTGGAGCACCTCAGCTGATGGTGCTGGAGTGCTGGTGAGCATGCAGGTTACCGTGGTCGACCTGTGCCCAAGGACTTTAGCGGGACCTTGCAGTGTCCATCCCAGCAGTGTTCTTAGAGCCATGGGACTACCTCGAGGACCTACATGCACCGGATCGACGGGGACAAGGAGGTCTGGGTAGTCAGAACCAATGAGGAGGAGTGGCTGAACTTCTTTGAATGAGTTGAGAGGCAGACCTCTGAGATGTCGGTAAGCCTTTCTCAGAACCTCAACTGGGTGTGAGTGGGGGGAGAGTCCAAGTCCGGGTGAGGTGAAGGCCCGCTGTACTTTATACCTGTTCTGTGTGTGAGTGACAGATGACACAGAGAAGGATACTGATTCGCCACTCACTGTCCTGCTGTCCTGGCGGATGGTACGCAGGGCTAGCTCCTCCTTCTGTCCCCGTAGGCCGAGCTGCTGCGCCGCTTGGTGGAGGAGCATGGTGCGTTCCGAGCCGTCATCGAGGATGGCATAGGTCTCCATCCTCTTGGCCCCATAATGCAGATGCACCTTTACCATCTTCAGCAGCACACAACTACCTCTTCTTGCTGGATCAAGATAGTAGTTGACAGGCTGGCTGGCTGAAGACGGTGCAGCAGTCTCTGGCTTGTTGTGCGTGTTGACCTCGTGCAGTATGTCTAGGTGCAAGCGGTTGCACCTAGGACACCGGGCTTTGAGGTAGCACTGGGCCGCCAGATGGTCACGTCCGCACCTCCAGCATCTCTTCCCAGCCTTTACCCACTCCACACACTGGTCAAGGGACAGGTTCTTGAACCCGCTGCACTGGTTGAAGTAGTGCTCCTTGCTGGTGCAGAATGGGCAAAACTTCTTGGGCTGGTCGGGCTGCTGAAGTGGCGCTGAAGCTTGCTTCGGCGGGGGATCCACTAGCAAGACTGTGGTGGACCGGGTGGCCACGTTCTGCCTCCCCCTAGCACTTTGCTGCCAGTCCGGCTGACTCACTGCTGCTGCCGCCGTCAGTGGCTCATTGGTCTCATCCATTTGTATGCCGACCTCACGCTCCAGCCAGCCGGCGAACTCCCGTAGCATGGGGACAGGCACACGGACAGGATCAATGTACCGCCTGAAGGCAGCACGCAGTTCGTGAGGCAGTTTGGGAAGCAGTCGCGACACTTGGGACCCGGTCCGAAGCTCCATTTCTTCCTGAGTGCCCATACTGTCCAGCATTCCCACCAATGCCTGGACCTTCAGGGCGAAATGTCTGAAGCCTCTCTGGTCACCACTCTTCACCGGAGGCTCGGCCAGTAGCAGGTTGATCTGCCTGAGTGCAAGCTTGTGGGGCTCCCCGAAGATTCTGGTGAGAGCTGCCATAGTGTCACTGTAGGGGGAGCTACTGTGGCAGTAGGCATCAGCCACCAGAGCAGCGTCCTCCATCTTCAGGTGGTCCAGCAACACCTGATATTTGAAGCGCTCAGTCGCGTCACCTGGCAGGATGTTGTCGAGTGCCAGCTTCATCCGGTTGAACTGCCGTGGGTTGTCCTCGGTGAAGAGTGGAATCTTCATCTTGGGCCCACGGTAGGTCGTCTCCTGATGAGGCAGGGACTCTATCCTGCGTGGCGGTGGCGGCTGCACGTACTGCTCCGGAGCCCTCACACTCAGGTCCGCTGATGAGGGGAACACTGGCTGTTGTCGCTGGGCCACTGATGGGTGCCGTGGACTGTACGGCATTACGTACTCCGGCGTGACCCCTGATGATGGTGATGGCAGCTGACCTTTTGACAGGTTCATGCTCCGCACTTGCTCGGACAGCTCTGCAATGAGCGGCGATGAGTGTTGGGGAGCCGACCTCTGGTGTGGGGTGGACGTCACCTGATCCACTCTGGTGGTGACTTCTCTGGCAGGCGAACGTGGAGGGGTGGACTGGTGCTGCTGCATCAGGAACTGCACCTCCCTCTGCAGCTGCCTGGAGTCCTCCCTTATCTCCTTGGTTTCCCTTTTGATCTCCTGAAGAGCCAGGAGTATGGCTGCTGACGTGTCTGCAGCGGTGTGTCCAGCAGGGGGCGTGTGTGTCACCTCCCAGGGCCTGCTGTACTCTGTTGCAGACTGGCCAGCAGTGTGTCTCATCATGTGGCAACCGTCGCTGAGGCAGGTCCACCATGTAGTCGTCGAGATGGCGAGGCTGGTGCTGCTCACGGCGAGGACGTGTGTTGCCATTAGGGTTATCCATTATCCACTGTGCAAATTGCTATAATCCGGCTCGAAGGACCATGTAAAAAATGGTGCTTGATATGGCACCTGAACGGACTGTATAAGGGCTAGTTTGTGGATAAATAGCAAACGGCACAGGTTGTCCGGCCAGAACAAATGGATAACCCCAATGATGACGCACACACTCTTTTTAGGGAAACGTCACACTGTGTACTGTGTGAACCGTGTGAACCGTGGTTTACTAAAAGAATAGAAAAAGACATACAACAAAAGACATGAGTTATATAGAATAACCACAAATGCACAACAGTAATGAATAAAGTAAAATATATACAAATATATACAAATATATACAGGAGTGAAACTAGCATAGGAAAAGTTGTAAGTCACATTTAATACACTCGCATGAATGTAACCATTTTATTTCTGTTAACCCGATTCTTTAGTTGGAAACCTGAGAATAAACCAGAGTAGATCAAGAGTAAAATATTGACATTTATTGGGTCACAGGTAAAGTATTTCAGTGCTGGGATCTTCACAGACAAAAACCTCTCTCTCAGGGTCTCAGTCGGCTAAGAGCCCTGAGATCTGGGTGTGATGGGTCTTTGTCTCCTGGGCTGGGCACACCCCTCAGAGGAGGACTGGACACAACCCAGTCCTATTGGCTATTTACCTCTAAGACTAACAAGTCGGGTCCTAATTCATGTTGATGACATTGGAATGTGGTACCAAATTATGTGTGTGTGTGTCTGTGTTGACTTAAAGACGTGGATCTAATGCAACAGAGAAAGAAAAGGAGAGAAAGGAAAGGAGAGAAAGGAAAATCTGTGGTTACAGCCAGAGACTTCAACACAAAATATAGTTATAAAAGAAAATAAAACAATCAGTAATCTACATAGATCATGTGATAGCATACTATGCTACAGTGAGTATTTATAGCCACATTTCTTTATTTTCGCAATGGGAGATAAGCAACAATCTATTTCTTGATCAACATAGTTAAGAACCTTGCAGAGATCATCTATTCAGAAATTCTTAACGACTAAAAACTAAAAGTGTTTCTGTTAGACCGCTACATAAATTTACACCAATCAGATTTTTTGATAACCACCAAGGAACAAGGCTGTACATATTTAAACCCCAAACTACAAGTAAGGACTGAATTAGCTGAATTCAGGTCCATGTAGATTATCTCATTCTTATTTAACCTCCTGAGACCCTGTGTCCTCATAAGAGGACGTTGCATTTTTGTCTCTCTTTACCATGATACTTCTTTTTTTCTCCCAGCTTTGACCTCTTGGCCTCATAGCAGATGCTATCAGACACTGTTTGAAATCTAAAGTAAAATGGTTTTATACATTTCCATCCAATCATGTTCTTATTGTGTAATAGAAAAAATGTAAATAAGTCAATGGGACTGTCAGAACAAAATTGTAAAAACATTTAATTAAATATGTATCTCATATATCTTTAAAAAAAAAGCTAAAATGCATGCCAAATAAAAGCTCGGGTCTCAGGAGGTTAAGTTTATGCTTTATGTTAACAAAACAAACTAAATTCAAATCACTGTATAATTATTTTTTAGGAAATCAGTGCAAATCTTAAGTGACTACAGAAAATTATTTTTATCTATAAAATAGGTGCATTCATTTAAATAAAATACATTTCTTCAAGCATCAGCAGTGTTTTCGTTATAGTGTGTAAAATTAAGTGAAACTAGCCATGACTGCAGGAGAAATCAGATATGTACTGCAACAAATGTGATGGAATCTTTTTGTGGACCAAAGGAAAGAAATTACCTACAGAATGTTTCCCTGATTAACTGAAAATACCATAATTATTATTTGATTTTAAAATGAGTTTTTATAAAATAATCTTCATCATCACAGTCAGCTTTTCATAAGACTTAATATTTTGCTTTTTGATCTGCTCCAGTAAGCTGTAAGTCGGAAGTTTTTGTACACAGAAAAGTCTTCAAATGTGAATCCAATTGTGGCCCTTTCAGATGCATAATTATCATCACGGTTCTCTGTTTCAGTTAGTCTTTTACCGTTCTGAAGCAGCAACTCTTTTTGGAAATTATGTTTTGATGAAACTTTCCAGAAAAAGCATTGCTGACATTGGCTTCCAACTCTGTCTCCAGCAGTACCCACACATTATCACTATTTTTTTATTGTTTCCACACCTGGGGTGAATGCAACCTTTTAAATCAACAGAAGCTGAGCAATGCCTCCTGCAGAGTCTACTTTACCTCTTCAACTTTTTAACTCCAAAGAAACTAATTCTGCCCCCCTCACTGTTTATGTATCACTCATGTTGTTTTTAAGGTGAGACATCAACTCCCTGACATTCTAAAACTCTAGAAAACGAGAAAAGAGAAATAGAAACAATGACGCTTGAGTTATGAGTTACTTGTGATTAAATAACAAAGCTTGACATTCTATAGCTCCCAGAATTGGTTATTTATTATTATCCTCGATTTTAAAGTTTGCATTTGTTTTTTTATACTGAAGCTTTAGTCATTTTCCTTTGTGATGATCATTCATATTAGTCGACACACCGCCATGAATCTAGGCCCTTAGATTTTGATTGCTCGTTTAAACTAGACCTTGAATGACTGTGGCCAGAATGACTCGAACATTCAGAATGCAGCAGATGTATGGATCGACCAGTGCAAAAATAAGTTAATATAATTATTTCAATCTCTGACCCTTAGCAGAGTCTCACAGTGCATAGCGTTACCAGCGGTTGTGGAAGTTTTGGTATCTAAAGTGCAGCGGTGCTGCTCAGCAGAGTAAGTATTGCCCCTCCTGCCTGTCCCGCTAAACGGCGCATGTGTATCTTTGCAGTGATGCGTGTTAAGCCTGCTACAAACGCGCTGGCCGCCGTTGGCGCTGATCCCCCACCCCAACACCCCCACCCCCTCTCGCTTTTCTCCCCTCCCTCATTTCGGTGGTGTTGTGCGCAAAATCTCCAGCGCCGGACGGACGGACGCAGTCTGACGGTACAAACGACCGGTACTGCGGGGGGACATAAGAGAAAAAAAGCTAAACAAAGCAGACATGGATGTTTAACCGGCATCATTTTTTTTTTTATTGTAAAACCTTGTGATGTGGCTTTCGCCCCGGGAATGTTGATTAAACCATCTCGATGTCTCTCATCAGTTAATAACCAAAACAAGATGAGGAATTCTTCTGGTGATTGGATTCTGTTTATGTTGTCGGGCTTTTGGGGACTGGCAATGGGTGCTTTCCCGAGCAGCGTGCAGATCGGTAAGTGTGAGGCTTTATTTGAAATGTAATCTGAGAATTAATGTGAATCAATCTGTGGTTGTCATGCCTGCTACCTCTGTCCTGACATTAGACACATCAGCATTAATCAAAGTGGTAGTCAATCTCCTCCACACTCTTGAATCTTTTTATGTAAAGCAAACATCACATGGCGTTAGGTTTGAGTCCTCTTTTATGATGCTGTGCACGTTAACACATGCACCTAATTCGAATTGTATCTGTGGGTATAGTGTGTGTCCCAGTGCACCCCACCACTGCAGCAGATCGGAAGTGTGTGTGTGTGTGTGTGTGTGTGTGTGTGTGTGTGTGTGTGTGTGTGTCTGTGTGTGTATGTGTGCTCTGTGTGTGTATTCCCCATACAGACTGGCTGTACATTGACTGCTGTTAACACTCTGCCAGATACCGGGTCCTGGCACTGCAATAAAATGCTACCACAGTAGCTCCTATTTTTCCCCCATCTTTTATTTTAACCTCTCATTGTTTTTCATTGAGCAACTTAGTCCTGTATGTCATGAGTGAAAGCAACGGATTTATAGCTTACATTTCATGTGTGAGCAGATTGACATTACTTAAAAGGGAGGGGGAAAAGCAGGTTTTTATATCTGTTTATATGATAGTCAGGAAACCTAATTTTTAAGAACATTTGCTTTTCGCACTTTAAGTAGCCATAGCTTCCTTTGAATCCATGCTAGCAGGGTTGAGGCACATCACAGCCAGTGAAGCTGATGAAAAAAGACAAGCTGTTCAAATGATTTTCCTTGTCCTTTTATATTAATGTGATACTCAAATCCCCAGGCTTTTCCAGAAGGTCAGAGGTCAGGGTCTGTTACAGGATAACACCTAATATCTAAAGCATGAACACTCCTTGATTTTAAATAATCGTCAGTTGTGAAATGTGAAATTTAGTGGTCACACATACATGCAACAGAAGCACAAATGCATGTATCTACAGCTGTCTCAAATGACAAAATAGACCTGTTTTCTATTTTCTGGACCCTTTCAATTCTTAAATTGCCATGAAAGGGCTTATGATTTGAATGCAATGTACAGAAACAGATGGAGACATCTTTGATGGAAATTATTAAATAAATGTATTGAAGCACCAGTAGGATACAGCAATTATAATTGCAGTCATAAATTACAAGTGCTCATATAGCAGATCAATATTTGAAGTATGATTATTGTGCCTTTGTGCTTTTGCCCTTATGAAGCGAACAAGGTGATGCTGAGGCTGCTATGTGTAAGTCCTGTGTCATGCCATGTCGGTGCTGGTATGAACTATTCAGATGCATGCAGCTTGCTGACACTTGGCGGCAGTGTTAATTATTAAGCTGCAACTGTGGAACAGACTGTATGGTAGCTGGCAGCCTTTCTGTATGGCAGTTATATGTTATGTATATAGAGTTTCTCATTGGGTAGTTTCGTTCATACAAAAACATGCATAGTAGACTGATCGTTAACTGTAAATTGACCGTAGGACCATGTGAGTGTGAATGGCTGTCGCTCCTTTGTCTTTATGAGTTCTGTAATGAATTGGCGACTTTCCTGGGCTATATCCTGCCTCATTCCCAGTAAAAGCTGTAAGAGGCAGGTATAGAAAAAGGATTGAGATATGGAACACAGTTTTTGACGTTATTGGGTCTTCTGGCTGAGAAGATTTTTTTATGTCTTTTGTATGAATAACATTGTCACATAAAAGGACAACAATGACCATGG